ATACATAATATAAAAAAATGACCCCAGATACGCAACAAATGATTATGCTCATCACACAATTATTTGTCCTGGGCGGGACTCGAATCGTTGTGGGTTCTAGATTACAAGATTACCTACACTACATCTTTGGCCAGTTTAGAATAAACATAGAATGATCGTTACGGACTCGTGATACCACCCAATGACACCACCGGTAGTGTGAAGGGTATTATTCAATCCCCATGACACCACCGGTTTTGTCACAGTTATTATTCTTTTACATAATGACACCACCGAGTAACTAACAGGAATAAAGATAGATAAAGATACTTATTTAATAATTAAATAAAATAAAAGTCAGCCCAACCTCATTTGCAGGAAAAATATATTTAATTTTAGATTAAATAAACACATAAAATGCGTCACCTTCAAGAAAAGAGCGTTCTCCTTCCTTAAAGCAACTCCTTTCTTCCGCGACGCGTTTGTGACTCCTAAGTTGCAGACGTTCATGGGCGGCGATAGTCACTTTCCATCAGGTGACCCGTCTGCTCGTATGCTCCTCTAACATAAAAAAAACCTTGTACACTATGCTTAATATAGTTTTTAGTTTTAACATTTTATTTAACACTAAGAACAGTGAGGTGGTGTGCTAATAGCCCACAATACTGAAATAAATATAAAAAAACTTTTTTTTTAAGTAATTGTCATTACAGTGTTCTAATTGTAAATGATAGCTATACTGTGGGCGATTAAATCTTGTGCGCGTAAAATTATTTTAGACGATGAGAATATAAATAAAATATATATTAAAAACCGATGCCTGAATTGAAATTCTCACTTGATTGTTGGTTTAGCGGTGAGCGATCCTGACTTCTACGATAGACTTCGTGGTTTCGATTCCCACCCAGGACAAATATTGTGTGATGAGCACGATCATTTTTTCTGTGTCTGGGTGTAATTTATCTATTATAACTATACATATTTTAAATATTACATATGTATGTATTTAGAAATATAATTATATAAGCGTGTTTACTTAGGAATAAATATGTTCTCGGTTGACGGCAATAAGCTTATCCCTAATACATATGACGAAAATTCATAGTCGGTAAAATGTAGGCGTTTAATACGTTTTTGTCCACCCCTTCGGGGATAAAAGCCATAAGTTTATATATGTTCGTATTTAAACCTTAATGATCTTAGCATATGGTCTTGACGCCCTTGTCCCTTTGGCCTCTTTATTAGAACAGGCATGGGGGCACGAGGTTTCCGTCGACTGGGACCGCATTTAACTCGGACCGTAGTTCTAGTTCCACTTAATTTTGGCATGAATGTTCAAAAAAATCTATTAACAACAAGCTAAAAACAGCATAGACAAACAACAAAATGTTTAAAGTTAATGTTCAAAGTTTAATGAGGTTCCAGAGGCCGGAAGAAATTTTTTAAAATCAAATGGATCCCGCAACGGGTACAGCAATTAATTGGACCGTGGTCCTCCAAACGTCGGGGTACGCGGCTGTGGCTTGAGACTAGTGCTAAATATTACTTTACTTTGTTGAAAGCGATTGTTCGTTTTGTTGAAAGCGATGACATTCCCTAGGAAAGTTAGCGTAAATTAGACGGACACATTGCGGCGAATTGAGAAAAGGGCAGACAATTGATAATTGATAATGTACGAAACTCTATAAATGTATATATATATATAATAATAATAATAGTCTACAACATTCACACAACGCCATCTAGTCCCAAACTAAGCAGAGTTTGTACTATGGGTTCTAGACAACTGATATAAATATATATATACTTTTTTTTTTGTAAATATATACATAATATACATAGAAAGACCCAGACCAAATCAAACATTAAATTTTCATGCACACAAATGTTTGACTTGAGCGGGAATCGAACCCGCGACCTTTGGAATAGCAGTCCGTTACACAAACCACTACACCATCCGGTCGTCATATATATTAAGAGTTTGATACAATGGAGACCACGTTAAGCCGTCAGTCCCGGTTGCTATACAAACATCTGCTGCAATCGTTAAGGGTACTTAGATCCCTAAAGCGCCCGACAACAGTATTTCTACAGAACTTCAAAATCGCCTAGTACTTGGGTTGTGGAGGTCTGTTGGCAGTCGCTCCGCGGAAAAATAGAAGTTTAGAGGACCCCAAACTAGGAAAAAGGCTCGGAGGAAATATAAATTGAAATACATTATACATTTATTTAATGGAAGATCAACAGCTATAATAGTAGTGTATGACTATGACATAAAAATACGCAACATTAAGTCAATTACAGATCCTCACACTTAACATCGAGTTGAACAATAAAAACAGCAAAGTGAATAAAAACATTTTAAATTTTCAATAAATGAAATGAAATAAATGAAATTAGAATAAAAATATTATTCTATAATTCTTTAGACATTTTATAATCAAGGGTTATTTAACAACATTTATGAGTGTAGACACTTTTCAAATAGGTAAAAGTGCTAAGGTTTCATTAATAGTAGTTTCATCCCCATTTAAGTTGATTATAAACAGTATCTAGTCATATTATGACTAGATACTGTTTACTGCAAAAGGCTAGTTGACTTAATTTGAAAAATATCTATTTTATCCCAAAAAACCTCTATTTTAAAGAAAAAGCAACATTTACATTACGTATTATGTATTTAAAAAAACAATTTCAATTTCTCTTCAAAACGCTGAAAGTGTCATGGCGTCTTGAATGACGTCACATTCGCGAAACAAAACTGTATACATCTGTGTCCAGTCTCAACTGAAACTGTATTAAGGTGAGAAAATATGCTAAAAACGAAAAACAATAAGGAGTAACCTGCTCTGTTGTATCAAAACGTCAACAACAACATTGATGTTTTGCGTGGCGTGACGTAACACTTTCTGATTGGTGTTCGCTGTCACGTGACTTAATGCTTATTTTGTTCGAATTTATTTAAAAAAAAAAACAATAAACTTTAATTTTTATGAGAAATAGACTGGTTTTTTAAATCTATGTCTCTTTATTTATAATTCGAAACTATAAACCAAGCAATTTGTTATTAGTGGACACACATAGATCATTTTATTTGGACATACCTGGCTATAGTATAGTTGTTTATAGTTCCGTAAGTTCTATAATCTTTATCTATAAATATTAAATGTAAGCTTAAGTCAGACAAGCTAGTCATCCAGCTCGCTCAAAAAAGGCCGTAGGTTCGTTACCTACCCAGGACAAATAATTTTGAGATAGCACGAATTTTCTATGTATTTGTATATTACCTTTAAATACGTATATTATATTTATTAATAAAAATACATACAGTTGAATATAGTACGTCCTCCTTTTTGAAGTCGGTTAATAAAAGCATGTTTGTCTAGTTTTTGACATACTTTACCTAGTTTATTACCAGGCAATTATTAAAGTCATTATTATTATTATTTAAACACATTTTTTTTCGGACTTAACCTTTCAAAGCTTATCTCTTAAACTCGAGATTTCCTAATAAAAAAAATATATAATTGTACGAAATTCCTTAGTCCATCGAAATTTTTGCGTGTAATGTTCAACTACTAAAATATTTTTAATCTTCAAATGTAAATAGCAGAAAACGATGAATGGCTTTCCAAATTGTATCATTAATTAAATTATACGAACAACTTCTCACTGAGGATGACAATGTCTAGAAATAACTTAAAAAAAAACACAAAAAATATAAATTTCCGTACTGTCCACATAAATCAACGATAAAACAACCAAAATAACTCGTCGTTCTGAAGCCGTTGCTTATTAGGCACGAGCCATTGAATACAATCGACCCGCGTCTTGAAAAGAAAATATAAAGATGGCTGCTATTCCGAATTCAAATTTGTTTCTAACAAATTTCTATGTAGTTATTTTGACATTGCTTGAGATATTACTTTCTATAAATACAAGATAAAAGCTATCAGAAATATTAAATTAGTAAAGAAAGGAAGAAATCGCTGCACAAAAAGATTATGTATCCAATGTATTGTAGTCTCACCTTCGTTTTTTTCATGGCATTCGTTATTTTTTTAATTTAATTTTTTTTTAGCGCCCTAGTTGGGCAATTTCTTTACTCTATTACGCTTTCTTTTAAATTAACTAAACATTCTTGTTGCGCTAGGGATAGTTTGCACTACTACATAATTTTACAATGGTGCTGATTCTGTTGTTCGAAAACTCTCTAAACTAAACTAAAAATCACTAAAAAAAATGTTTGTCCTGTCAAATATTACGTTTTCAGAATAGAAAAGGTTGTTTGACAGAACTAAACATATTATAAACATAATAAAATATAATAATTATCCATAATTATAAACATGCAGGCCTATGCTAAATTCATATTCATGAATAGAAACCACTGTTGTTGTAGAGTGTTCATATTATGTACTACAATCGCGCCACAATGTTTATTTAAATGGTAATATTTATGCTGAAAATAAACATACAATAATATATATTACAAATACAAAAATACAAATTTTGTACAGATGCTGAAGAATAAAACTCTTTTCAGGTATAAACTCTAACACCGTTAAACACTTAACGGAATTTAAGTCTTAAGCCCACACACATTTAAACTACAGCCATTAATTACCTCGACTGCTGGACATAGGGATCCCTAAACAACTTCCAAGAAGACCGGTATCCATTAGCGCATAAATGTTTAAGACTATACATACAATATTATTTTTTATCCGTGTGCTGACGGATTAAAACTACGGAGTGTCACCGCCCCTATTCATCCCATGGGTGTCATAAGAGCCGTCTAAGGAAGAAAACTAATTAGGACAACAGTACCGCAAAAGGGAAGGAAAACTTGAACAAACCTGGTCCAATTCCGTCTGGCAGGCCAAAATGTCCTTTTTAAGGAGAGGGCTATGTCCAGCAGTGGACTACTAAATATGCTATTGATGATAATGATTATGATACATACAGTGAAGTAAAATATTTAGCAAAATCAGAACCGAATAAAAATGTTTTATTTGCAGGTGAACGCTGCGTTCGAAGAACTCCGGATTCGAGCCCGAGCTGGTAGTGGTAGACTGCCCAAGCTGGAGATACTGAGAGCTGCTATACAACACATAGAGAGACTACAGGCGGCCTTAAGAGCGGCAGCCGTGGTGAGATTTATCTTTTTATTTAAAAAAAAATAAAGATGGCGACTGTCTGTCAATGCTATGCCTTCAACGTCCCGCTAAAAGGGGATTTTGAAATTTTTTGACATGGCCTTAAAACTTTTTTGTCTTGTGAATGATACGGGACATCTTAACTGTGTGGCTAATGATGAATAAAATAAAATACACCAAAAGCCGCGAGTATTGCTGCGAGTATTTCAATTACCAAACTTTTCCCCAAAAATTCCATAAATCAAATATCTATTCTAATTTTTGAATTTGATATTACGAACAGCTTAAAGTATCTTCTAAACAAGTTCTCCCTTACTCCACGAAGGTCTATTTCAGTTACTGTCTCGCGTCGACGCTTGTGTCAAACGCCATTTAATTCGCGAACACCTGCATTTAATTACTAAGATGTACTTACATTCTATCTATAGTTTAAAGTTCCTTTTCTATTTATTTTGTAGTGAATTGATGTTATACATGATAATAAAAATAATATATTTTTTCAACCCAGAGATTCAAATGCATTTCAAAACTATTTCCAACTCAAGTTCCATCTTAAAAGAGACCATTTCAAATTTATATGTAAACAAATCGGTCAAATGAGTTTGTCAAGAAAATTTACAGTTTCCATTTAAAATTTAAATGTTCATAATCGTTTTATTAAAACAAATGACTTTGTATAAAGATTTTAAAGATGATGTGGAGAAAAAATAGTTGTGAAATATCTGAATTCAAAACAAAGACGCATCAAAAAATATAGATGTAACTTTGCGTAAGTAGTTTAGTAGTTCAGTTAATTTACTACATAAACAAAAGTTGGTTACTTATTTTAGTCTTTCCGCTATAGAATTTTATTTGTAGAAACCCATTTTCCAGTATTCAATCTAGCATTTTTATTATTTATCAAAATAACAGTAAGCAGTTTATTTAAAAAAATAGAACACTATGTATTATACTTACCCATATATCATTAAAAAATCCGTTAAAGGTGGAGCCATGTGACAAATATAATAAAATGTGTTGTCTATGAAATATGGTCTGTTAAAGAAGCAGTATCTGGCCAGAGTTGCCAGATTCGCGAAATTAACCCTGGGAAACCTATGCTTTATCAGATATAAACCTACTCGACCGGATCGATAGAAAGACACAGTTACAGAAAACTAGTGTTAAGGTTAAGTCTGGTCGCATATGGAATAATGTTCTCATCTCTATGCAGGGGCACCCCAGCTTCTCCCTCTAGACCGCATCCAATAGGAGCAACTCGAATCGTCGATAGCCTAAATATCTCCGGCCGGCTCCATCCTTTGGCTGTACGCAGAGATGTAGCTTAATTCTGCATTCCCTATCGTATATATAATGGCGAGTGCTCCAAGGAATTGCTTGAATTAATATTGACCAGCCATTACACGAGGCAAATTTTCATCCTCATCACTTGGATAATTGGCACTCCACCACTGTGATGCGTTTTTTTAAAATACTTTTTGCCTCGCACAACCAATCTGTGAAATAAGTTGTCATCGGCGGTATTGCCGGACCGATACGACATTCAAACCTTCAAGAAAAGAGCTTACATCTTCCTCAAAGGCCGGCAAAGCGCTTGAGTTGGAAGCGTTCATGGGCAGCGGTAGTTTCTGTCAGGTGACTCGTCTCTCGTTTGCCCCCTCTTCCTTAAAAAAAGCATTTCTTCCGAAGCAATTCACTTAGTAAGTTAAATTACCGGAGACCCAATATCTACTTATAACTCTGAGGTAGACAATAAAAGCGCAGGTGATCACTGGCCACGGTAGTAGCTGAAAAGGTTCTCATTGACTCGCTTTACCATAAAAATATATATAAATTCACAAGCCACGCAGCGCTGCGGACTTAATGAAAGTTATACAGAGAACGTATCAGATGAGTCCCGTCGAGATGTTAAATCGTCATTAATATACGTCCGCGCATTATTTATACGTACACGTGCGTCCAATATCAAAATAGAATTACACCGAATCGCACACAAACACACGAACAGACTGGCGGACATGCGCGATGCAATAATTTTAATTGCCGCGAATAAGTTTCGCGTTAAGAGCGCTAATATATCAGGCCTTGCTATTATTTTGTATGTTTTGAGTTTTACTTTAGAACTGCCCGTATCCATATTTATTATATTATAAATAAATAGTATCTTTGTCTGTTTGTTTGTTTTATTTTCACGGCTCAAACGAGGAACAAATTTTAATGAATAGTCTGCTTTTTGTTGTGAACATTTTATCGTGCTCACAATATTTGTCTTGGTAATTGAACCCACGACCTCTGGCTGTCTGCTGTGGGAGTAGTCTGAGGCGTCAACCATTAGACTAACAGGAGCCTTAAACGTACTAAATAAACAAGCAAAAAAAAACTCAACACTTTCGCTTTTATAATATTAGTTAGGAAATATTAAGTTAGCTGGGAGTAATTTATATCCAGTCACAGAGGGTATGAGGCAATTCATCACTACAAAGGTGACCAGGTCACCTCAACCTCGAAGGACATCCCGCAAGGTAGTTCCAACTTTAAATAGATCATACTCTTGAGGAAAACTGAATTTGCTTTAAGTTTCTTTATTGGTGATAACAAACAAATAATTAAAATTAACTTTGTTTTCAAGGAAGAACAACAACAGATTAAAATTACAAACTTAATCATTAAAAAAAAATGGTAGAAATTATATTTATCAATGGTAATACTTAAAATTAATCTCTAAAATGTATTGATCTATATATAAACACCTTAAGAGAATACTTTTAAACTTATTTATGATAAAACTTATTCAGTTGGGATAGAAAATCCGTGTGAAGAATTAAGAAAACGGATTCTCACAATGTGCAATGTGGTGATCGCCTAACCATGTTCCCATAGTTCCCATAAAGGAGAAAACTTGTGTGATTCACAAGTATTTGTAGGGAGTCTAAGTATTTTGTATCCGTTGTTTCAATGTTCGAATAGTCCCCGGAAAGAAAGGTACCATCTTTGCCGTTTCCCACTGCGCTAAGTGTTGTGGGTTCGATTCACACACGGGACAACACTTTTGTGATCCACAAGTTGGTGTTCTAAGTCTGGGTGTTTTTGTGTCCGTTTAATGTGTTTGTAAAGTTTCTGCAATAAATACACACAATGATCTTGCTCATTACACAATTTTTATCCTGAGTGATCATCGAACCCACATCCTTTGGGTTAGCAGTCCGCGTCACTAACCAATAGATCAACAGGCCCGTCTAATACTTATACGGTCCATTCGAGTCTACGTCCATCCGTCAATCTAGTCTGCCTCGTATCATAGTGCCTTTCCTGACATGGTCTTTTCTGTTGCAGTTAGAATCGGAGAGTTGTAAGAGTTACATAGAGTCCCCAGTGATGTCACAACGACAGTACGACAGCAGAGAAACCAAGACGGAGAAAGAGAAACCGTTTTTAAGTAGTAAGTTATGTGTTATTGTAATATCAATATTTATTTCGGAGTTGAATGTTTTCTATGTTTGAATTTAGATAAAAAAAAGTACATTATATTAATTAATTAATAAAGCGGATTAAGAATACAGAGTGTCACCACCCCTATTCATCCCGCGGGTGTCGTAAGAGCCGACTAAGGGAGCAAACTACGCAGGACGACAGCACTGCAGAGAGAAGGAAAACTTGAATGAACTCTATACCAACCCGTCTGGCCAGCGTGGTATAGTAGGCCAACACCTCCTTTCTAAGAAGAGGCCTATGTCCAGCAGTGGACTAGGAAAGGTTGTTGATGATTCTATCAGTCAATCTTACATAATACAAACTCTGCTTAGTTTGAAACTAGATGGCGTTGTGTGACAGTTGTTCGAAATATTTATTTATTTATTAAGGTGCTAAATGCTTGAAAAAAGCTTATTTCATAGCGAGAACAGACCTTCGCTCAAATAGGAGCCGCTCGTCTCTCGAAACACTAGTTATCTACATATACATACATATAAAATTACTTGCCATGACTGATTAATCAACGCAGATCCTGAACCGCTAAACCGCCACTAAGAAAATATATTTTTGGAAATGTCACACACCTAAGGGGGTAAAATAAGAGATGAACGGTTGTATAGCAGTTCGTCATTTTCAAAGTTAGAAACACGAAATAAGATATAATCGAGCGAGCAAAGGCGCGGAAAGTAGCTAGTATAAAAATAAACCGACAGTCTGACATCACTATTTACCCTTTTTTTTTCTGTGCGGAAATCCCCTCGGATACCACTTACCGGTGGCAATGTCGGAGCATTATATACCCTAATATAGGCCAAAACTTCCTTTCTAAGGAGAGGCGTATCCAGCAGTAGACTATTACAGGCTGTTGATATGATGATATACCCTAACTATCTTTTGCTTGCAGTTTCGCTTGTGTTAATATTACGGGATTAAAATTAGCCCTATAATTCATCTCTGCGTCAAATGTCATTTATATCCATTCTTCCGTTTTGGAGTGAACAATCATGCATCTGTATGAACTGTATAAATTTCGCATTTACAATAGCAGTAAGATGATCATATTTTTGTGACGAATTAATTTCATGTTTAAAATTAATCCATTTAAAAATATTAATTATATATTATTAGTAATATGATTACAGATCAAATGTGACAGCGTGTGCTAACTGAATGTAACATTTGCATTGCAATTTGCAAGATTTGTGTCTAGAAGATGTCATATTTGTTTCAGTGGCCGTTTCCAAAATAATTATTTATAGAGTGTATGTTAATTTATATGTAATTTTAAGTTGGTTTAGGTGTGCTCAAACCTAGGTTCAGCACCGATTGCTTCTAAATGTTTTCACGATAGTTTAACCCGATTCAAGGATTGTGTTTATATATTTTTCATGTTAGTTAATGCAACCACATGATCCTCAGGTTATTATTATTATATTATTATAATAATCTAAGATATAAACATATGTCGTTACGAGTACCTACTGTATTACGTATTTTAAATTTCGTAAGACTATAAATCCATAACATGTATATACATTATTTACGCGGCACACGTCGTCATATTAGATCACCGTTACACAAAATCTTAATGAATTACATACCTAGCCTTTCCTATCATACTTATTCCTAGTCCAGTCCTAAAAAAGTATATCTGTATGTAATTTATAACCATAGTTACCTTTTTGGTGAGCTATATTGTGATCTGTATTCATTGCTTGAAACAAAACTTCATAATACAACCTATTAACATCTATAGAAATCACGATAAATAATAGCGCCCTATAAAAACACCCCTCTTTCATAAACGACCGCCTTCCATTTTCGCTGTAATTGCGGAAGGACCGGCTCACTGTTTACCGACCCGTAAAGCTGTCGTCTATGTATGAGAAGTATTTTTGATATAAATATATTTTGAATGACTTTTCGGCACTACAGCCTTAACTGAGCATATCTTGTACCTTATATGCTGTGTCGCGGGGGATTTTATATACTTTAAACACATGAAACGGACACAATGAACACTCAGACTTCCAACAACAATTTGTGGATCACACAAAGTGTTGTCCCATGTAGGGTTGGAGCCGACAACACTCAGCGCATTAGGAAGCGGCGAGGTGACCGCTCAAACCATCCGTGCAGTCATACTTCCCATTCGGTTCCTTTTAAATTAGTAAATAAATAATACCACCAGAAAAATATCACATAACACCACATCAACATCCTTTAATAGTCCACTGCTGGACATACGCCTCTTCTTAGAGATTGGTTTGGATTGGATTGGTATAGGATTTGTGTCAAGTTTGCCGACTAAGGGACTCGGCTCTTACGACACCCACGGGATGAATAGAGGTGGTGACATTCCGTATTCTTTTTCCGTCACCCCACGGATAGAAATATATAGTTTATTACAATTCATCAAAATGTAGTCGGTGATTGAAGTCGGTAATAGTTTTTTCAAAGCTAATTCTATGTAAATATTTCAGGTGATAACTCGTCTTGCGGCGTGAACAGCTTAGCTCGACTGCGCTGTATCGTGCAAGCCCTCGCAGGGAAAGACACATCTTAATATTACAGTTCAAATAACCTGCCTGTTTATTTAGAAGCTGTGTTGTGATTATTGTACGAAAAAGATGCTCAAGATTTAGATAATTTTATTAATAATAAATTAGATATTAAATCATTAAGACTTGATTAAAATTTAGTTTTATTGTTTGAATTTTATTGTTTTATTGTTCGAAATGTTTAGATGATCAGTAACTGCCAAGCTAAAGCATGCCAACGCGTTGGATTCTCCATGGCCAGAGGAGACAAAACTTTTACCAAGGTCGATCCGAGTAGAGATTGTCCTCTCCACTCACAACACCAAAATCTCCACTTAGATCAACGCCGCCTACGAACCGGGTAGTGACCGACTACAACCGGCAATTAAGTAGGTGGTTTTGTAAACTGAAATATATGACATTAATTTTATTTCGAGAGCGTCACTAATGGTTCCAAGAGGCATGCGCACGCGCCGACGGGCGTGTCTTGGCACGCCAGTAACTCCGCCCACCACAAGGAGTTAATCTCTGTGGGCAGATAGATCGAATGTTATGTTTTGATGTTTGTTATAAATATCTTGAATTGGCTATCATAATATTACTTTGAGTAACAAACTAATTTTAATACCGTTTAATGGCTAAATAATAATAAATATTATATTTAGGTAAGCATGGTACATTGTGATGATTTAAGTGCTTCAAGTTTAGTTACACCTAAAGAATAGATCAGAATAGAACAACCTTGTTCTATTGTTGTGGAATAAAAAGAATTCTGCAATTAAAACTTTCTAAGTAATACAACTAAAATTTTTGCCGGGAATCAAACCCGAGGCCTAATCATAAGAGAAAACGACATTACTTTGTTCTATTACTCGTAGTACTATTAGCAGACAGTAAAATTCAAGATAATAAATCACGTTACATGCAATTATAAATATGTCTTAGTTTATAATATTCATTGCGTTTGGCCACGGCTCAATGATATTATTAACACAAAGTTCATAATTTCTTCCAGCAGATGCTCTATGCACTTATTCATCCGCTTGCAACCACTGTTATATTTAGTTATATATATAAATATGTTTGTTTGTATAGGTTAGAGGCGTGGCTAAGTTGTTTATCCAATTATGAATAGATATATTTAAGTACTTACAAAGTTCGGAGGTACTAGGCTAGGTAACTAGGCCCTCAGGTGTGCGATTATAACCCTTGAACTATTGCGTACATTATGCGATCCATCCGTAGGTATACACAATAGTCTTGTGATTATTTACTCATCCAAAGACGCAGCATGGCTCTACCGTCAGAGAGTCATGCTCGGCACATGTGAGTCACCTCTACCCACAGATTACCCCCTAATAGATGCCGCTTTATTTAATATTTCTTTCGATTCGAATCACCAAATTTGGCGGTATATACGGGTTGCGGGGGACGTGTCAAATGCGCTGTGATTGGATATTTCAAAGTCAAACATTAAATGCACCTAACCATAGTAATGGGACAGGGTTGGGACGTTAATCGATAACATGGTTTGATGATCTGAATCATTGATATTTATTTTATTCTCAGTTTATTGATAAATAATTATATTGATTAATGTTTATATATATTTATAATAACTAATTAGGATATGTTTATAGCGCAAAGTTGTTCACAGAAATGATAAAAATACAACCCCAAAGATGAGCTTTTTTTACTTATCCATTCCCTGTTTTCATAATTTGGCTGAATGGTATTAGTTTGCTAAAATCTTGGTCGTTTAGATTCGGATTTTTATTTAGAAATTTAGATTCAGATCTGTGCAAACAGGGGCATAGCTAGGCGCCCGCGCCTATGCCCCTGTTAGAATCTACATAAAATACGATTTCAAACAATTTTATTTATTTAAACCTCCTTTCTAAGGAGAGGCTTATGTCCAGCAGTGGACTATTAAATGCTGTTGATGATGATATGAAGATATTTTGTATTGGAATTAGTCTTGAATCTCCCTGCTACCGCCGCGACGAATAGCACGTGTCTGGTCGTAGACCCTTGTGTCCGTATCCGCGAGGATATCCGAAGGTACCAAAAGAGCCAGGACTGTCACCATGCACCTCCGACGAGATTGTGCGGCATTCTCGTACGATCCGCTCTACTCTACCCGCTGCGTTTAATTCAGCTGAGTTCGGCAGCGGGAGGATCGGATAGGCGCTTAGCCCATATCTGAGCTTCGTAGAGGGCCACGGATCGTATCACAGTATAGGCGGCGAATTTCCTCACACAGATTCCCTACATTAGACAGCAGTCTCTGTAGGGAGCCTGCCACCCGAGAACTTAAGGTATAATCCGCGCAAAATGCTCCTCGAAGCTCCAGCGACAGTCCAGGGTGAGGCCGAAATACTTGTTATACCGTTTGACCTTGTCCTCTGTTTACCCCACGTGAACAAGCGAGCTGGTAAGAGCAGCACCTCCGCGTTTTCTGTTTTACCATGGGATGGCGCGCTAACAGTAGGCCCAAATCGCTGATCTTTTGGACAACACAAACTACCCCTAACTCGGCCAGCTCTGAATCCTCCACGAGGTCTTAGGATAGACGCCTGGGGAACCCTACTTGTAAAAGAGGTTCCCTTAAACATTCTCCGCCGTCTCGATCCATATACGATATGGACCTGTCGGGAGCAACTGGTGATACACCAATGCCTTCCTAAACACCCACCACATGAGGAGGCAACCTCTTGCCTTCTTCAACCGTAATACAAGGCATTAACACAAGATTTGCTGCATTAACTGAATATTACAACAATTTTGGATCTTGCCAAATAACGAGCTATTTAAGCATTGTAATTTTAGATTTTTTCACTTTAGATTTAGGTGTAGTTCTTCAGGATGAATGATGAAACTTGACTACTTTGGCAAGAAATTAAATCACGGAAGTTATTATAATAATATATCATAATCAAAATAAACCTTTTTTCAAATCTGTATCACATCACATCAACAGCCTTTAGTAGTCCACTGCTGGACATAGGCCTTTTTTTCAATCATGATCTTGGGAACGAAAGAAAGGGGCCTCGCTGATGCGGTTTTGCCCACGTCTATATTAGTCCACACTACGCCTCTGTGTGCAAAGTTATACAACTGTAATTTTATCGATATTCACATTAAATATAGTGAAATATAAAATAATAATAATAATTTATTTCGTGTAACTGTGACTCATGGTCAAAATGTGAATATGTGTGCTGGAATTATTTATAGAGGTAACAAATAATACATCTATATTTACGATATTTTTGTAAAAATCCTGCCAGTTATATCACTTTGCCCAAAATCGTCTCCCGAAACTATAGTAGATAAAAGAAAGTGAGTTAGACAGAAAAAAAAAGGGAAAAATCACCGTGTACATTACACGGTGATTTTGAAAGCGTTTTGGAAAAGAAAATTTTGAGTTATTTATCAGTAACAGAAGCTATATATAACGTTAATTTAATAAAATATATATATTTTTTATCATCAAAGTCGATATTCATATCGATTACAGAGAAAAGGTGAGAACCAGTAGTAGGGCTTTTCAATCGCAAGTAGGTAAATACTACGAATAGAAATACTATACTCACGCGCAAGGTCAAGGACGTTTAAATTATTATTCGCCGGAGTGTAGTGCGTGCATACCTGGACAATGAGTTTAGTGATCGGTGGATAGGTCGAGGAGGGCCAGTTCCTTGGCCACCTAGAAGCCCGGACTTAACGCCCCTGGATTTTTTCTTATGGTCGGAAATAAAAATACTTGTTTATACACGGGAATATGAAAGCCGTGATAATTTACGCATTGCGATAGTGGACGCTTTTGATAAAGTGAAAAGTGATAGAGACACATTAAGAAAATTAAAAAACAAATGCATTAAACGTGGACGTTTGTGTATTGGATGCAGCGGACTCCATTTTGAGCAGTTGCTTCGATACAGAGAAGTGTAAATAGTGTAAATAGGTATGTAATTTAATTATTCTGTAGATAGCTCCGATTTTTTAAATACGCTTGAAATATTTATACCTACAGTCCGTTGATAAATTGATTTGTTGTGAAAAGAACAATCGTGGTTAATAATCGAAAAGAAGTTTAAATAAAATAGGTATTTCCGACGATCCTAAGCCCGTGTAAAGTATGAAGGACAAATTGGAGTCTATCTACGTAAGTACTCGCTAGCTCGCGCCTATAGGTATACTTTTATCAGCTGCTGTTAGCGTCAGCGGTGCGCAGCGGCCGCCGAAACGCCCACGGACGTGATTCATTCATATAAGATAATGAATGAATGATCAGTCCATTACTACTTTCCAAGTCGATCGAGTAAAAATGAATATTAAATCTGAAACTTTTTTTTAGACAACATTACAATTGATTTAATCATTTTTTTAGTACTATAGATGATTCCAAATTAAAATGTTTCGTTTCCAAAACGCCTAAAAAATCACCGTGTATATTTTTTTGATGTAAAAATTACCAAAAGGGTACAACTTGACTTAAATGATTCATCACAGGAGGCACATATTTGTATATTTGATTTTTAAATGTATATTTCACTCATTTTTTAAATGCATGAGCTTAGTATAAATAAGTCTTACAGAATCCTTAGGATCTGTCTTCCATAATATGAAGATTGTCTTCTGTGAAGTTTCTTGAGCATATCACACCATTTTAGTAGAAAACCCATCGTCCCCTCGACAATTCGCGTCGATCTACATCTTTTTCTTACCAATAACTTACAAAATAATGACTTCAATAAAAATGATTCAAAGGATGACCAAATAAAGGACAATGGCAGGTCCCCATACATAATTTTATTTGAACTGAAATGTTAGCGTTTAAATATCAAAAAAATCCTTAACACTTGAGAATTTATTCTTGACCATTCTCATATCAAAATTACTTGCGTAAGAAGTCTAGGAAAAAAGATATTGGATTTTGAATGTTTCGAGGTTAAGTACTAACATATTGTTAATGTTTTGTTTGAAACTAGATGGCGTTGTGTGTCAGATAGCCGAAAATATT